CCCCAAAACCCCAAAACCCCGTCGTGCATATCTCACCAAAAAAGTTGATATTTAACTTCTTATGAAATTTAAATTTCAAATTCAAATTAAAAGAAATATCTTTAATAAACTTCATAAAAGATGGAAACTAAAATTCTGGTTCTCTCACTCCTCTTTGGATGTTTAGCTGCTACAAAAATCAAATCAAACTAGTTAATTCTTGCCTAAGGCGATGAATATGGAATTTTCCCTAATAATCTCGATATTGGTGATTCATAGGTGGCCTTCTATCAGCATGGTAAGTTTGGAGGGGCTCAAATGATTCTTGACGCTTCATCTCCAAGAACTTATGCACTCTCAGGCAATTAGAGAATAGGCGGAAGCAGTGAGACTCTCAATTGGTGGGATAATGCCATCTCATCCATTAAAGTTGGTAAAAAGGCAATGGTCAAGCTCTGTAGATATTAAAACTGCGAAGATGAAAAGAAGAAACCAGAAAATGCCGTTATACTAGTAGGTCCCTACTCCACAAAATTTATGGGATGGTCTTCAGATTATACTAGTACTATAGTGCTTTCTCCTTATGATGAAGCCAATAATCCAGTAGTTTCAGTATTTGGAGGTGATGAATTTAATTGCGATACTGCAACAGTACTCAAACCAGGAAATTACAATTCCAGAGATTTGAAATTAAACAACATTGATCCTGGAGAAATCAGAGGATTCAGAGTTCCCCTAGGCCTAGTTCTCCAGATTTTTGATCAAGATTATCAAGCTGGCCAAGATGGATTCATTCAAGGATCTTCTACTCCCTCTAGTTAAGTTGACTTATATGCACAAAAGAATAACAATTAACCAGATAAAAGCTAGACTAATCTAGGAAAGTTTTATAGAAAAGTTTAGAGCATCAAAATAGGCAGAGCTAATGAAATTTATCCCATCACTGCCAGATGGGTAACTCTTGATTCATCATGGGGTAATCCATTGAATGTTTCAGTAATGCAAGGACTTAAACTTGATACAACAAAAGTTTCTTCAACTACCTTTTCAGCCTCTCTCTCGCTTGGTTATAAATACACCAATGGTAATCCTGTTACAGGCCAACAAGAATTTTCAGTTTCTGCTACAGTTGGCTTTGAACTCTAAAATAGTATTTCAAGTTCAATCAAGAAGGCAACCCAAGTGACAGCAGAGAAGATTTGTGCTGCTAAGGGTGATTAGAAAGTCACAATGTGGCAATTCCAACTTTCAGCTGAAGGTGCTCTCTATGGTGCTGAAAACTTCATATGTAAATACGGGGATAATGCAGATTTAGCTCCATCATGCATTTCATATATGAAATGTGCAGATGCAGAATGCACTAGATGCCTTTGAAATTAAACTTGACTTATTAATTAATCACTTTGTATCTTGTTGTTTTTTTAATTTCTGAAGAAGAAAAATAATAATTAACATTCTAAAACAAATCTTCTCCTTTTGATACTTAGTTTATAAAAATGTTCTTAGTTTTGGGGTTTTGGGGTTTTGGGG